ACACACACACACACACACACACATATAACACATCACGCATGCATGTATAATCGAATAAATCATTTAAAAATAATATAATCATATTATAATATTGTAGTTATCGAATCACCATCGGCGCCCATCATTTACCCCCATGGCCCCATCATTATTTGCATGAATCTGTAAACGAATGTCTTATTCTGTTGTGATTTCAGAAAAACGAGTGTGCAACACTGATGAGTTCACTTGCCGCAAGGCCAAAGGCGAGTGCATCCCGCTGACATGGATGTGCGACGGCAATCCAGACTGTTCGGATGGCTCCGACGAGAAGGAGTGCAGTAAGCGACTCTTTGGTTGATTTTTATTTTTTTCTCCTCCCCTTTCATATTTCAATTCATTTCTACATACCATATCACACTCATAACTGCCTTTTTAATATATTATAATATCATCATTATTATATTTAAATTTGTATTATATTATACGAATGCCTATATTATTATAATAACATCATCGATATTAGCATTTCTTCTCGGTGATGGTTGGATATAATTTTTTTTTCTTAATATCCGCTAACTATCGATATCACTATAATATTATTATCTGTTATACCATAATAATAATATGTTCTGCACCCTTACATGTGTAATACTACAATATTATATTATATGTATTATACGTATATACCGCGATATCATGTAAAATCATCGCCGCTACTCGTTTATTTTTTTTGTTTTTATTATTATTATTATTTCACGCTTGTCCATCCATTGCAGACGAAACATGTAGAGACGACGAGTTCACGTGCGGCAACGGAAAGTGTATTCAAAAGATTTGGGTATGTGACAGAGACGACGACTGTCAAGACGGCACGGATGAGCTGAACTGTCCCAACATCACATGTTCCGAGTCCGAATTCGCCTGCGTCAAAGACAACACTTGCATAACGTTGAATTGGCGTTGTGACGGCGACTTTGACTGTACTGACCAAACTGACGAAATAGTGAGTGATGATTACATATATTATAGTATTGTATTACTACATTATGGTTATTTAAAAAATGTTTTCCCAAAATAACTTCTACCAATATTGTTTAGTGGGTATAAACGTTATTCTGGAGCCACGTGTTTCATTAAGTTATAAAAACGTAATGCAGGTATAATAATATTATTATTTTACGTCAATATCAATGCATATTATCGGGTATTGATATAATAACATATAATACATAAACTTACATCTTTGAAATTCTGAAGTGTATATATAGTCTTAAATAGGCATATACTATTGCTCGACCACGAAGGTTATTAATATATATGTATATTCATAATACATTATAGGTATAGTCAATAATCATACGATATTCACAATCGTAATCGGTATGTGTAAAATTATAGGTTTTTTTTCTATTACTTTTTTCGTTTTTGTTTTTGTGGACTTGACTTTTATGTAAAAAAATGACTTCATTACTCGACATAAACATAAAAACTATAATTTATTCATTGAATTGTTTAAATAATAAATACATTTTATATTTTTGTGTAACTATTTCGTACCACAAAATTCATCAAAAACTGTACAATATTATGAAGTGACACAAGAGTTTGTTTTAATATTCATTACAACTGCGAGAGAACGACAATTATTACGATGGAACGAAATGAATAATTTGTGTTCATTGTTATTTTAAAATCTAAAAATAATTTTGTCAAGAATTACGACCAGATATATTATTATATT